CATTGAGGATGATATACGCTGTGGGCTTTTCGTAGATGGATTTTATGAACTTGAGGAATGTTCCCTCTATCCCTATACTCTGAAGAGTTTTAATCAGGAAAGGATGCTGTATTTTGTCAAATGCTTTTTCTGCATCAATTGAGAGGACCATGTGGTTCTTGTCTCTTCTCTTATTAATGTGTTCTATCACATTGATTGATTTGAGAATGTTGAACCACCCTTGCATCCCAGGGATAAATCCCACCTGGTTGTGATGGATAATCCTTTTAATGTACTGTTGATCCTATTGGCTACGATCTTGTTGAGAATTTTGGCATCCAAATTCATCAGGGATATTGGCCTGTAATTCTCCTTTTAGATGAGGTCTTTGCCTGATTTGGGGATCAAGGTAATGCTGGCCTCATAGAATGAGTTTGGAAGTTTTCCTTCTGTTTCTATTTTTTGAAGCAGCTTCAGTAGAATATGTGTTATCTCTTCTTTAAATGTTTAGTAGAATTCCCCTGGGAATCTATCAGGCCCTGGACTCTTGTTTTTTGGGAGGTTTTTGATCACTGCTTCAATTTTGTCACTGGTTATTGGCCTATTCAGGTTGTCAATTTCTTCCTGTTTCAGTCTTGGCAGTTTATAGGTTTCCAGGAAGGCATCCATTTCTTCCAGGTTGCTTAATTTATTGCCATACAGTTGTTGATAATAATTGTTTCTCTTTCCTTGGTGTTAGTCGTGATCTCTCCCCCTTCATTCATAATTTTATTAATTTGGGTCCTTTTCCTTTCCTTTTGGATAAGTCTGGCCAGTGATTTATTGACTCATTAATTCTTTCATAGAACCAGCTTCTAGCTTCGTTGATCTGATCTACTGTATTTCTGGTTTCTAATTCATTGATCTCTGCTCTGATCTTAATTATTTCTCTTCTCCTGCTTGGCTTAGGCTTTATTTATTGTTCTTTCTCCAGCTCTTTAAGGTGTAAAGTTAATTTGTGTATTCGGGATTTTTCAATTTTTTTGAGTGAGGCTTGGATGGCTATGTATTTCCCCCTTAGGACCGCCTCTGCAGTATGCCATAGGGTTTCGACCGATGTCTTTTCGTTCTCATTGGTTTCCATGAATTGTTTGAGTTCTTCAGTGTCCTGGTTGATCCAATCATTCTTAAGCCAGATGGTCTTTAGTTCCAAGTGTTTGAATTTCTTCCAAATTTTTTCTTGTGATTGAATTCCAGTTTCAAAGCATTTGTGGTCTAAGAATATGCAGGGGGTAATCTCAGTCTTTTGGTATCAGTTGAGACCTGATTTGTGACCCAGTATGTGGTCTATTCTGGAGAAAGTTCCATGTGTGCTCAAGAAGAATGAGTATTCTGTTGTTTTAGGGTGGAATGTTCTGTAAATATCTATGAGGTCCATCTGGTCCAATGTATCATTCAAAGCTCTTGTTTCCTTGTTGATTTTCTGCTTAGATGATCTGTCCATTGCTGAGAGTGGAGTATTGAAGTGTCCTACAATTAACGTATTGTTATAATATGACTCTTTATTTTGGTTAATATATATAATATATATATAATATATATAATATTTTGGCTTCTATAGTTGGCTGCTCCCATGTTGGGGGTGTAGATATTTACAACTGTTAGATCTTCTTGTTGGATAGACCCTTTAAGAATGATATAGTGTCCTTCTGTGTCTCTAATTACAGACTTTAGTTTAAAATCTAGTTTGTCTGATACGAGAATTGTTACCCCAGCTTTCTTTTGAGGTCTGTTGGCATGAAAAATGGTTCTCTGTCCCCTCACTTTCAGTCTGGATGTATCTTTAGGTTCAAAATGAGTCTCTTGTAGACAGCATATGGATGGGTCATGTCTTTTTATCCAATCTGCAACCCTGTGCCATTTCACGGGAGCATTTAAGGCATTCATGTTGAGAGTGATTACTGAAAGATAGGATTTTATTGTCATCATGTCGCCTGTGAAGACCTTGTTTCTATAGATTGTCTCTGTAAATTTCTGGTCTGTATTAGTCTTGGCGTCTTTCTTCTTTTATAGAACGGTCCTTAATATTTCTTGCAGGGCCCGCTTGGTGGTCATATATTCTTTCAGTTTCTGCCGGTCTTGGAAGCTCCTTGTCTCTCCAGCCATTCTGAATGACAGCCTGCTGGAGAAAGTATCCTTGGCTGCATGTTCTTCTTGATTAGTACCCTGAATATGTCTTGCCAGCCCTTTCTGGCTTGCCAGGTCTCTGTGGACAGGTCTGACGTTACTCTGACGTTACACTGATGTCCCTTCCTCTGTACGTAAGAAATCTCTTTCCCCTAGCTGCTTTCAAGATTGTTTCCTTGGATCTAAGATTTGCAAATTGTACAAGTATATGTTGGGCAGTTGGTTCTGTTCTCATTGATCTTGGGAGGGGTCCTCTCTGCCTCTTGGACACGAATGCTTGTTTCCTTCCAGATTAGGGAAACTCTCATCTATGATTTGCTCAAATATATCTTCTAAGACCTCTGTGTCCACAGCCTCAAGGATCCCAATAATTCTGATATTGGAACGTTTCATTGAGTCTCTAATCTCTCTCAGTTTGGTTCCATGGGTTTTGTTTTTCCCATGCCTCCTGGGTTTCCTTCTTTTTTATCATCTTATCCTCTAGCCCACTAATTCATTCTTCTGCCTCATTTACCCTGGTGTCAGAGTATCCAGTTTAGACTGAATTTCATTCGTAGCATTTTTAAGTTCGGTCTGATTAGATTTCATTTCTGCACTTAAGAGATTCTATATTGTTGTTAATATTTTTCTCAAGCCTAGATACTGCCTTGATAATTGTTGCTCTACAGTCAATTTCTGACATCTTGGTTATATCCATTAGTTCTGTGTCAGAGGCCTAGTCTCTAATCCTTTTCTTCATTGGGGGTTCCTCCTCTTAGTCATTTTGTTGGGGGGTAGTTGAGGAAATGTAGAGTCCACATTATTGACCACAACCCAAGGAAGATGCACCTGTTTTATAGGGACCTTAGGGTTGTTGTCCTCTTGTTTTTCTGGCCTGTCTTCTGGGGGAGGGGCTTGACGCACTGTTCTTCAGGCAACCCTGGTTGGGCAGAGTTGCCCTGCCCCTGTGGGGGAGGAGGAATGTGCTCAGTGAAAACCAGGTTTTGGGGGTTATTGTTCTCTGGTGGCTTTCTGCATCTCCCCCCGAGAGTCAGAGCACAAGTAACCGTATACAGACCTCTGTCTCAGAACAGAGAGATCACAGTCTGACCTTCACTGATCTCTCCAGCCCACACCGTCTCTGTTTCTGTCTGTGCTGCTAAAAAACTGCATCGTTCTGGGTTGTGCGCCCCACAGCAGCACTCCCGGTCCTCGCTTCCAGGTCCAGGCACGTCTCTGCCCTTTGTGCTGCTAAAATCGCCAGCCTCCCCCGGTTCGCACACGCTCCCCGGAAGCTCCAGGTTTCAGTCTGTGGGTCTGCCCTAAAGTCCCTTCCCCACTGCTACCGGTCTCCCCAGCATGGGAGGCTTTTGCGCCCCTGTGTTATTACACCTTCCTGGCTCTAGTGCTATGGCAGCTCCCTCCCCTGTTTATCTTCTGGTATCTGCCCGCAGAATCACGGCTCCCCACTTCATACCTTGAGACCAACTGCCAGAGATATTCTGTTTGTAGGGATCCAGATATATCTTCTTACATCTCAGGCTGATTTCATGGGTGTTCAGAATGGTCTGGTAGATATCCAGCTCAATTCAAGGGACTGGTTGAAATTGGGTCCCCTACTCCTCTGCCATCTTTTATCCCTCATTATGACTACCATTTTTGAAGGACCACTGAGGGAGCCGAGAAAAGGAGCCAAGTAAGAGAGCCAAGCAGGGACACAGAACAGGATAAAAGGATTGCCAAGCAGTGTAGAAGATGAGTCTCTGCTTCACAAAGATTTGGTAGTACCAAACCACAGATCTGGGTGAGTTGAATGTTCAGCAGGCAGACTGACAGAGACAAGGTTGATTAGCTCCACAGTTGGGGATAAGCTGACATAACAGCTTGAGAGAGCCAAACCCTAACCAGTAGACCACCAGGGATGATATAACAGTTTGAAAAGATGCAACTCTGTCCATTAAGTGGTGGAATCTATTTCCCACCCCTGAACCTGGGCTGACCTGTGACTCGGTTTGACCAACAGCATGTAGTGGAAGTGAAGGTCTGTGAAGCCTGGAGCTCAGGCCTCAGCAGGCCCTGAGGGTTTTGCTCTCTCAGAACATCGGCTAAGACTCCTATGTAAGGAGACCAGCATAGCTGGCTGGAGGGCAAGACCAGTGGAGCAGAGAGGTGCCACACCCAGTGGCTAGCACTGACTCCAGTCCTGTGAAGGAGGCCATGAAACCCCGACAGCCTATATGGCCCCATCTCATCATCTCCTCTTGCTTAGTGGTCAAGTCAGTTATCTTCTGCCTCAGTGTTCTAATATGAAAAATAATATTATTATAACTCATGGGGTTAGTGTGAGGATTAAATAATATATGTAAAAATTCATAGAAGAGTTGTTGCATATGGATTATTTTATATTATTTTAAAATAAAAAGGTGCCTCTTATATTTTACCGTGAACTATCTTCAGGATAACGTTGTCCTACTGCTTCTTGAAGCTGGACATTAAGAAAAGACACATTCTGCCAGGTTTCCTTTTCTCTTATTTTATCAAAAATTGATGTATAGAAGTCGTACATGGTATCTCCACCTTCCATTAAGAAAAAATTTCTCATGGCCTGCAAGTACTCAACCAACCTAAATGGAGAGAAAATAAGCGACAGAAATATCTTAAACTCATGAGAAGAATTCTGGATCGGTACCAGTTTTTGTACACTACTAATTTTGAAATAGGTTTACATTGTACATTTACTAAAAAGCAGGAACATTAACAACTTTTAAAGACTTTTAAGATAATTACTAAAAAACAGGAACATTAACAACTTTTAAAGACTTTTAAAATAACAAAAATAGTATATGGTTGCCTTTAAAAGAAAGAAATAAATTACTTTTCTATAACATTGTAGAAAGATGGGAAAAGTCAAAGTGTAACAAACTAGTTAGTCCAAATCCTGCTATTCATAGTGAATTTCTACTGTTAATATTTGGGGTATTTCTTTCCCATCTTTTTTTCTGTGCAAAAAAAAAATAGTTCGCACCATATATATATATATATATATATATATCTCCTGCTATTTAAGCTTTAAGAACATTTTACGTTATTTAAAACTCTGGATAAACATAATTTGTATGAACTTTATAAAATTCATACATGACATGGATATGCCATTATTTAAAGAACCAGTCATCCATTACTAAGTAATTTCATGTTCTTCCCACTGACAGCAAACTTTCTGATGGGTATTTTTGTACAACGAGCTTTTTCTGTATTTCTTTCAGGACAGAGTCTCAGATACAAAGGATTAAATTTTGCAATATAATACTGTGAAACATTGATAGTTAGTTGATTCTCTCAAAAGAAAACTGTTTACAAATACCCATTTCCTACTCTGTTAAAAATAATAATTAACTTGGGGGACTAGGGAAGATGGCGGAGGAGTAGGGGACCCTATTTCAACTGGTCCCCAGAATTGAGCTGGATATCTACCAGACCACTCTGAGCACCCAGGAAACCAGCCTGAGATGTAAGAAGATCTGGATCTCTACAAACAGAAGATTGTAGGCGGTTGGTTTCGAGGTACGAAGTAGGGAGCCGTGGTTCCGCAGCCAGATATCGGAGGACAAACGGCAGCGGAAGGGTGTCTGGCCATGGGGATCCTACACCGCTGGTGAGCAACAGCCTCTCGATCGCTGGGGACGGGGCAAAGACTTGCAGACCAGTAGGAGTGGGGAAAGGACTTTAGGGCAGCCCCCGGGGCAGAAACCCAGAGCAGCGGGGTCACGCGGGCAAACTGGGAGCGGCTGGCGGGTTTAGAAGCAAAAAGGGCAGAGATGTGCCCACCTGGAGGCGGAACTGGGGGCGTTGCGAAGGGGCGCACAACCCAG